GCACAGGATACTGCAAGGTTCAGGTCAGCTGTTCAGAGGGTCACTGTGAGGCACACTCAACTTGACAGCTTCGAACAACAACAACAATAATCTTGAGAGAAACAGATGCCAGGCCCTTGTCCCAGAGCATCACTGGGAGGTTCATGCTGCCAAACTTTAGGTTAATTGTTGAGCACAAATTTTCCTGCTACCCAGGGATATTACTTAGTTCTAGAGAAATGAATTCTAAAGCTTGGGAATTTCATAGTAATTGAAGTGTCTTGAAGGGGTGCACACATCTGACCTAACAGGTTATATAATGGGGTGACTGGGGCCTGGCTATGCTAGCTATTGAACACATGGTATCAGCTGACATAAAAAGGGGGTCGTGAGTCACTGAATCATGACTAATTCAACCATGGCTCTGTAATGAGACCTCAATAAAGGCTCTGGATGTCTTGGTTGGTGAGAGGTATTGATGAATGTGGGACAATAGTGTATCCCATTTGGGGTCATGGAAACTCCTTGCTGGAACCTCCTAGACCTTGTCCTGTATGTCTCTCCAATTGCATCTTTTTGCTATAAGAAAACAATCAGTACAGTGTTTTCCCTGAATTCTGTGAGTCATTCCAATGAGCTGTCAAACTTGACAGAGTAGTGAGAGCAAGTAGATCAGGAGAGGGGAGCTTGGACGGTCTCAAGCTTGTGCCTAAAATCTGAAGAAGCCTAGAGCAGATTGGGTAATGTGGAGCACTGTGCCCTTGAGTGAGGAGAGCTGACTTCACTCCAGGTGGTTCAGATTAGAGGAAGGAAAATTACATATGCAGCTGGTGTCAGAACAGAAGTAGAAGAGAGGACATAACTGAATTGAATTGATTTTTATAGTGTGGCATCAGAGAAGAAAAATAACTTAGTTTCCTGTCTTATGTACAGTGCTCATCCTCCGAAAGGACTCTATGTTAGGCTACACACAGCAAGTAAATTTTAAGACCAAGGCATCTGACAAAAACATGCACATGCCTAAGGGCAGGCGTGAGCAGAGTTAGAAGGGGTGGCTGTCCTCCCAACATCAACCCCACCATAAAGTCAATGTAACAAAACTACCCTCTGCCTTTCTTAGAAAGAAACAAAACTTACGCAAAATCATCCAATTTTCTAACATAAACGTTGATTTGGAACCTCTTGGCTGCTCTTAGGATAATTCCAGTCAACTGCAAATCAGAGAAGTGGAAAGAAAATATTAGGACTTATTAAAACCACAGTAAAGCATCATTGTAATGTGTCTACACTGTTTCTGATCAAAGAGGTGGTATTACCGTGCTTGAAAGGCAAAGTGGAACAAGGGAGAGAATTGATCCCCAGAACAGAATGAGTACTCCTGATTATTTGAGGTTCCTAGCAAACCATTCTTCAGAAACTTTCAGGTGTTCACGGATGAGTCACTGGGGTTGTTAAAATGCAGATTCTTATTTAGTAGGTTCAGAGTTGACTTGAAGTTATGCATCTATAACAAGAATCCTAGGTGTTTTGGTCACTGGGTCACACTTCTAATAGCAAAATCATAAAGGTCTCCAGCATGAGAGAGATCCAAGAAATACCTTGATAGGTCTAAATATCTAGGAAATTGGCAGACAGCTTGAAAGGTGTGCTTTGCGCTAAGACCACTGCCTGAGCAGGAAGCCAAGAACGTGGGAGACCTACCTAACAGAGCTGAGCAGCTTTCATCCCTGTACTCCCCTATCCTTGCACCAAGGCCATGGGATCACATTATTCCCACGGTGACAAGCAACTGCTAAATTTGGCTTATGAAAACTGACCAAGCAGTGGCTAAGAAGACAAAGGGAAAACCAAACCTTGCTCACATAAATGCACTCTGTGTGGTTTAAAGGGAAACTTCTGTGTTAAAAGGATAATCTCGCTTTTCTTTGTAGTTCCATGAGGTTTAAAATCCCAAGTCTAAATATATCTGGCCTCCAGTTTGGTTCCTTCAATAAGAGGCTCTTCAGTGATGGAATAATGTTTGAATCCGTTTAGTGTGGTTTTGCTTGTCTCTTCTAATATTCTAAGATTAAAAATACTTTCATAATTTTAACCATTTAGCCACTTAACCATGGCTAAATGAGACAAGCACTGTTATATCTGAAGGAACACTTTTCCACCTTGCACGTCACTCTTTGTCAATGTGCTATATGAAATAACCTGGATTTGCTATGATGCTGAACCTTGTATCATTGGGGTATCAAATACCATAATAGTTTCCCATTGAGGACAGAGTTTGGTGGAGCTCCCAGTTGTAAAACAGGTTTGCAAGCAGGAGTGGTATCCACTTCCTAAACCACATGCCTCTGGAAACTCTATGAAGAGTTTATGAGAAATGACAATGGTTATGGAAAGGCATTAGGTCTTTTGCCACTATGAGTTGTGCTAAACTTGATGGCAATCAACAGCAACAACAACCACTTGACATAACAAACTCTCAGAAGTATCTGTAGAATACAGTTTGCAAAAAGTGAGTGGAACTGACATACATCTTCAAATTTCAACCAAACTATTTCAGGCAGTGAGTAAGCAGTGAGACACCTTCAAAGCTGCTGTTCTGTACTTTAACAGTTAAAGGCTCAGGCCCCAGGCTGTTGGCAGAAGGCTGGCCAGATTATATGGACCAATCTCAATCGCCTCCCATGTCTGAACTTTCACTGCTGCTCTTTTGGTAAAGTTGGTTCACTGACATTTCTGTATTTTTAGACTCAAACTCCCTGCTGTTGAGTTATAACCAACTTAGAACTGACCCTCCATTGGGTTCCCAAGGCTGCACAGGAGGGGATTGTCCATTTTTCTCCCGCAGAGCTGCTGATAGATGGAAAATGCCTTTGGGTTAGCAGCACGGCCCTTTATAGACTCTTCCACCAGAGCTTCCTTCTATGTAGATGTTGGTATTGTGGACTGTAGAGTCAGAATTGACTCACTGCTGATGCTCAAGTGGATTTTCAGAGGCACTTACTCACATGGGATACTGCCTGTCTTTCACCTGTGGAGCAGCTGGTGGATTTGAACTGTGTGCTTTGGGGTTGGTTGAACAATAAATAATTTACCATTAAGCCACCACAGCTCCCTTTCTATACAGACGATCCATGGAATCCAGTCTTCTTATTACTCAGCTATGGGACTATGCATTTCATTCCACTGAGCTACGTTTTCCCCATGAAGAAAGACAATGCATTTCTTAGGAATGCTAATCACTAGCCCACCACACACTGTATAGATGGAATAACCCGCTGTCCACTGTGTAGACAGCCTGCTCTGTCACCAGAAAGGAGTACATACTCACAGGATTGATGTCCACAAATGTCTCATGAGATTCTTTATTTGGATTCATGCCTTTTATGGCAGAAAGAAATTTCTCATCTGCTTGGTAGAAGTGTGGGAAGGACATAATAATGGGTGCACCTGTATTTTAAGGAAAACAGGAAGAAAATAAGTATATAGTTTCTGATCACAAACTTTATTTCTATAGAAACAAAAATGTGTGTGCAGTGTTGGTTCTGATTAGAGATCCTATGTACCAATGCTCCTCTGCTATCCTCTCCATGGTTTTTATGTTTGAACCCAACCCCCTGTTAAAGCCACTGTGTTAATCCAGCACTGAGAATCTTCCTCTTTTTCCCTGACTGTCTACGGTACCAAGAATGATGTTCTTCTCCAGGGACTGGTTCCCCCAATGATATTGTCAACGTATGTAAGACAAAGTGTTACCGTTTTCACCTCTAATGAAGATGGCTGTATTTATTTCAAAACAGATTTGTTTGTTTTTTCTGACACAAATGATGCACTCAATACTCTTGGCCAACACCATCAAATGAAAGGCACCACTGAAGGCCAGCCATCCTTCAGTCTTACTTATTATTCAGCTTTCACATGTATATGAAGCAACTGAAAATACTATGATTTAGGTCAGGAGCATCTCAATCCCCAAATCTTTATGAAGGTCCCCTGTAGCATATTTTCCCAGTGCACTATGTTGTCTGATTTCCTGACTGCTGCTTCCATGAGTGTTGGTTTGGGATCCAAGTGAAATGAAATATTTAACATCTTCCAATTTTTCTCCATTTATCATGATGCTACTTGGAATCCAGTTGTAAGGATTTTTTTTAACTTATACTGAAGTGTAATCCCTACTCATGGTTGTAGTCTTTGCTTTTCATGAGAAGCACTTCCAGTCCTCTCCACTTTTAGCAGGTAAGGTTGTGGCATCTGTGTATCCCAGGTTGTTAATTTATCCATTCTTGAGGCCTCATTCTTCATATAGTCTAGCCTTTCTGACTATTTGCTCAGCATGCAGACTGAGTAAGTATGATACAATGATTCAGCCCTTTCCTGATTTAAAACCATTCAGTATCTCCTTGTCCTGTTCTACAGACAGGTTCCATGTGCCAGTTGAATGATTTTTCATAGTAAAAAAAAAAGGTATTCTCTGCTTTCCTCGTTCCATGTTAAATGTCATTCTGAATGTCTTAGTTCAGGACCTATAATTCATTTTCTGACATTTCATTCAGTCCAAATTCTTTTACTCCACCAGATATAGTTCTTTCAAAGTTCTTCATTTTCAACATTTACTGAACCTATAAAGAGTCAAGAGTTGTAGTTGTATATACATTATTTTAATTAGTATTTCCAGAAACTTTAAGAGGTTAGAATTATTGTATTCATCTTATATTTTTGAAAACTGAGACTTAGAGATGTTACAGAATTTATCCAGGGGCATAATTTGCCATGAGAGATGCAGAATTCTAACTGAATTAAGATAAGAGCGAACTGGGGGGAAGGGATGGGCAGTGAGCCAAGTGCAACAATGAATGAATGGGAATACAAAGTATCTGTAAATTTTCATTAAAATTAATAATAATAACAATAATAATGACAAAAGGCTGGATATTAGTAAGACTTTAGCAATGAATATAAATTTTAAAAAACACTCTCCAAAAAAACCCAGAGACAGGGCTGGATTTGGCCCACGGAGTATACCTTGCTGGTCCCTCATCTAACCTTTTGTTTTATTCAACCGAGCTTAAAGCTTATCCCATTTGCATTTATTTTAATATGTGGTAAGTTTAAAATTTTATTTCTGTCATTGTGATTATTGTTTCCATTGAAAAACATATCTGTATTTTTTTTCCTGTCTTAGATGTGTGGATGGCATTTTTTTTGCGTGCTTCTAGTGTTTAGAAAGTTGTACGTATTATTTTGGTTTTATTGGCTATTTAAAAATTTTCAAAGACATCCTTGAATCTATCTCTGTCATAAACATTGTTGTTGTTGTTGTTATGTGCCGTCGAGTCGTTTGCGACTCATAGCGACCCTATGTACAACAGCCCTAAACCCTGCTCTATGCTGTGCCAACTGCATTGCCTCTGACACACCCATCTGGATTACCCCAGTCACTGAATCAATCCACCTCAAAGAGGGTCTTCCCCTCCTGCGCTGTCCCTCTACCCTACCAAGCATGATGTCCCTCTCCAAGGACCTGTCTCTCCGTACAACATGTCCAAAGTATGTCAGATGAAGCCCCAGGATCCTTGCCTCCAAGGAGCAGCCTGGTCTAACCCTCTCTAGGATGAAACTGTTTGTTTTCCTGGCAGTCCATGGTACATTCAATACTCTTCTCCAGCACCACGGCTCAAAGGCGCCAATTCTCTTTCTATCCTCCCTAGTCATTGTCCAACTCTCTGATGCATAACATGGCCTGTATCAGGCAGACCTTAGTCTCCAGAGAGACACCGTTGCTCTTGAGTACTTTAGAGAGGTCCCTAACAGCAGACTTTCCCATCGCAATACGTTTTTTGATTTCCTGGCTGCTGGTGCCAAAAGTGTTGACCGTGGAGCCAAGCAAACTGAAGCTGTGAACAATCTCAATCTCTTCGCCATCCATCCTGATGCTGCCAATTGGTCCAGTGGTGAGAAATTTTGTCTTCTTGACATTGAGCCTCAGTCCATACTGAAGGCTGCAGTCCTTGACCCTTCACAGCAAGTGCATGAGGTCCTCCTCAGTTTCAGCAAGCAGGGTTGTGTCATCTGCATAACGCAGATTGTTGATAGATCTTCCACCAATCCTAATGCCATGCTTCTCCTCATAGAGCCAAGCCTCTCGGATAATCTGCTCTGCATACAGGTTGAAAAGGTCTGGAGATAGGACATTGAAGCAATTAAAAATATTGCAAAATAAAAAAATTAATAAAAGATTGTTTCATCTCAAAGCACTAGTTTTAACTGCACTTTTTTGTTTTTACATGCTGTCTAGTCAACTGTGATTCAAAGCAAACCTGTGAACATCGGATCCGAGTCCTGCTCATCCTGTACTATCATCAACATTTTTTATATACTTGATTCCATTGTTAGTCTGTGTCAATCCATCTTGCTGAGGATGGCTAATGAGCTTGCTCCTTCTCTGACTCCACCTTTCCCAGCATGATGTCTTTCTTCACAGACAAGCCCTTCTTGATGACATTCCTAAAATATATGAGACAACATTTTACCATCCTGCCTCCAAGGAGCACCCTGGTTTCACTTTCTCTAAGACAGACTTGTTTGTTCCTTAGGCAGACCATGGGAGAATTCAGTACTTCTCTCCAGCACCACAACTCAAATAATTCATTCTTCTTTTGCCATCCTTGGTCACCGCTCTACTTGCAGATAAACAGCAAGTAATTAAGATGGCCATGGCTTGCATCAAGTGCACTTTAGTCCTTAAGCTGACGTCATTGCTCTTTGGTACTCTGGAGTATGCCTGAAATCAGACTTTTTCAGTGCAACATGTCTTTTGATTTCTTGATTGCTGGTACCAAGGGATTTGATGGTGGATCCAAGTAAGATGAAATAGTTGACAACTTCTATCCTTTCTCCATCTACTGTGATACTGACAATTGATCCAGTGGTGAAGATTTTTGTCTTCTTGATGTTAAGATGTAATCTATATAAAAGCTGCAGGCTTTTAAAATTATTAATAGAAGATTTATTTAAGCAAAAAGTCATATAGTCATCAGTGTCAAACTTAATGTGAGATGTTAAATGTTCAATCCAATTTTCCTTCCAAGATAAGTTTATCTTTCTTCTGTCTGTCAGTTTTGAAAAGAAAATACCAGAAGAAAAGGGGCCTAATGCCAAATGCAGCTTCAATGAATGAGTTCTTAAAAGTAGGCCTGAAATCGGGATAGACATTGGCTGATCTCACAATCCTGATGCCATATTCTTCTTCATAAAGTCCAGCTTCCCAAATGATTTACTCAGAATCCAAGTTGAATAGACAGGAAAAAGGATACACCCCTTCTCAAATACCTTACACACAGTAGGGATGACAGAAGAATTGACGCCTTTGGTGTTGGAAAAAAGCACTGAACGTCCTATGGATGGCCAAAAGAACAAACAGATATGTCTTGGAGAGAGTGCAGCTGGAGTGCTCTTTGGAGGCAAAGATGAGGAGACTTCAGTACTTTAGCCATGTTACTAGGAGGGGCTATTCCTTGGAGAGGGACATGATGCCAGGAAGGGTGGAGGATTGGCGAAGGAGAGGAAGACTCTAGACCAGGTGGATTGACACAGTGTCTGATGCAATGGACTTTTGTGTGTCAGAAGTGTTAGGATGGCACAGGATAGAACAGGGTTCAGATCTTTTGTTCATAGGGTCACTATGAGTCATACTTGACTAGACATCACCTAACAACAACGTTCTTTAGTGATCTTTTGCTTTTACACTAAGTTTTTAATTCTTTTACCAAAGTGTGGACCTTATTCTCTTGAATATGATGATGTAGAAAAAGGTTAACACTTTGCCTAGTCATACTATATTCTCAGTCTCTGATGAGATTAAAGGAAATTTACCCAAGATCTCTATCACCCATCTGTCAGTTTATTATTCTATCATGGGCCTCTGTGTTGCTATGCTGCTGAAATCTATCCCAATGGTATTTCATTTCAAATAATAGAAGGGCTACCCATGTGGCAAAGATTTTATAGGTGCTTTTGTACTAAGACAGACTAGGGAAAAGGTATATATATATATATATATGTATATATATAAAGTTAGCCAATGAAAAGCTAATGAACTACAAGGTAACACTATGTCTTTTGCTTTTTCCATATCATCAGGAAGGACCCCTCACTAGAAGGAGACATCATTTTTGGTGAAGCAGAGGGCCAGTGAGGCAGGAAGAGACCCTCAGCAAGACGGGCTGGCACCACATCCACAGATGAGCTCGATGTCCTGGTGGTGGGGAAGATGATGCAGGATTGGGCAGTATTTCATCTGCTGTACTTAAGGTCATCAGACGTCAGTGTCAACTCTGACAGTTATCAACTGAAGAGGAGAGATGGACTCAGTAACTACTGCCAGAGATGTACGGTTTTGGAGAAATTAGCTAATTGGCAAGTAATTATAAAATCTGCTTACGTATCCATGGGCCATGTCAAGACACATATCATCACTTCCTAGCAAAAGTTTCTGTTCAACAGTTCCATAAATCCTCAATTTCCTTCTTTGTAACCTACCCTAAACTTCAAAATGTACTTTAAAAATCAGCTGACAGTTTAATAAGAGTCAGATGTTGTTCTGAATGACTTCCATACATTTTCTCCAACCATCATACAATCTTCTAAGGAAGTTGCAGTTACTTTCATTTCATGGAAGAGAATAAAACATTGATGTTAAAAATCTTTAACAATCTCAGCCTGTTTGGTAGCATAGAATAAAACTCAGACACAGCTCTGCCTGACTCCAGAACACTCACTTATCCCAATATCCAAAATGTTTCCCAGGGACTTGGAGAATTTGGGGATGATCCTGGAGAGCTTAACATTTCAGTCCAAAGTTTGGATTATGTAATAGGAAAGAATTATAGCCAAAGCTTTAGTCTTCCAATGTAGAATCTATTAAATTGGGCATTAACTTGAAAATAAAAAGCAGAATGTTAACAAACTAGCAAGAAAAAGAAATTTTCATTTGTGCCTTGAACCCACTGAGATGGACAGAGACCCAGGACTTCCCCTGTAAGACAAGAGAGAGGTCAGAACCAAGAATGTGCTGTCACTTATCTGTGGCCTTTATATCCATGGATGGGGTCCTGCATTCCCTGACACAGTGATTTCCAAATACCTACTATGCTCCACCTTCATTGGAATACCTTGGGTTAGTAGCCCAATGCTTATCCACTGCACCACTCAGGCTTATATACATTTACTACGTGCAAATGTGTAAAAGGCGCTCTGGTGGTGCAATGGCTAAGTGCCTGGCTAATACCTGAAGAGTGCTAGTTCAGTTTCACCTACTGGGTTCCACAAGAGAGACACCTGGCTGGGGTTCTGCATCCATAAAGATTACAGATCATGAAGCAGTTCCGCTCTGTCTCATAAGGTCACTAAGAGTCAACAATCAACTCAATGGCATCCAACAACAAATGGGTAAAGCACTTAGAAAGCTGAGTAGCAAATGGCATGTGCTAGAGTAAACATTAGCTTTTATTACTATTACAGTTTCTAAAGTACTGGCAGAAAGAAATTCAACGTAGCATTCCATAAATAAAAAGCACTAATAAATAGATCTGTTGAGTGAAGGGAAAGGCTATACACAAAAAGGGGTTTGATCAGACGTTGTCATCAATTGCATTGCTGTTGTTGGATATTCAACACTCATCCTCGAGTATGACTCAGTGATCCTATGAACAGTAGATCAGAACCTTGTCCTATTCTGCGCCATCCTCACCGTCTCTGACACACTCAAGCCCATTGCTGCAGTCACTGTATCACTCCATCTGGTTGTGGGTCTTCCTCTTTTTTACCATCCCTCCACCTTCCCAAGCCTAAAGTCTCTCTTCAAGGAACAGCCTCTCCTAGCAACCTGCCCACAGTATGTGAGATGAAGCTCAATCATCCTTGCCTCCAAGGAGCACTCTGGCTGCATCTTCTCTGAGACATATCTGTTCATTCTCTTCCACGGGACGTTCAATACTATTCTCCAACACCACAGTTCAAAGGCACCAGTTCTTCTTATGTCATCCTTATTCATTGATTATAATTGTATTAATCAATGGTAATTAATGTTATAAAAGAAAATGTCTGTTTTAAAAAAATTACAAAAAGGCCAGTCAGCATGATTCTATAGCTATGCTACAAAGCATTATTTCTGAAAGTTGAGAATCTTTCTTCACAATTGGGCTGACACCATACCCTCTGCTTTATAAGCCCTTTGCATACTATGTGCCTATCATGCTGCCCCTTCTTTTGCGTTCTTACCATTCTTACAGATGCTGACATTTAAGACTCCTGAGCCCAGGCAGTTTCCTTCAGGTAGACAGAAGCCAGCATTTTCTGAGGTATTGGCTAATATTTCTGCAGGTACCTTATACCGAAGGGCAGGCAGTCCCTGCACACTCTCAAAGCCACTGAAAGTTATATACACTGACCTGTTACAAAATAAGAATAAAAGAAATCAACATGAGATCACCAGTGTAATCTGTTCCAAACCAGTGAGTTAGCAACAGTTCTCAGGTGTTTTACTAAGAGTCTACAGGGTAAATGGAAAACGAAGATGAACCAGATAGTTTGAAGTAAGCCCAACTAATTAAAATGTAATAAACACGTGGTATTGTTATTTTTTAATATTACATAATGAATATTTTTGAGCTTGTAGATAGGGTTTTCAAAGGTCAGTTATATTTCAGAAGTGACTGACCAATCCTTCTTCCTAGCCTGTCTTAATCTGGATGCTTAGTTTTAAAACAGTATTTGACAGAAAAGCATTTTACCAAAAGGAGCAAATGAAAGACACTTCCCCTTAGAGAAATTACCAAGTTCCCCCACCCTGGCTTATGTATCTTGTCTCTTCCCATTCCCTGTTACATCAGGATCCCTTGTACTCCCACCTCCAGCACCTCTCTCCTCTCTCACCCCAGCCACCCCTTGATATGATGGCTCAGGTCACAGTCAATTCTGTGATGTCTTGTGCCTTACACTGCCACTGGTCTCATGCTGATACCTGTCTCACATTTAGGAGGGTGGAATTCCAAATCCCATGTATCAGCTTTAGGGAAAGATATTTCTCTGAGGCAGTAATGAGGAAAGGTTCTTTCCCCTGAGCTTCTGCTCCATGTCTGTCATCTTGTAACTTAGGAAAAATATACTGTCCAGGACCTCTCCAGAGTATTGAGAAGCAATGATGTCAGTTTAGAGACTAAGGCCTGATGCAGGCCACGGTCTTACAGTAACTTGCTATGCATCAGAGAGCTGGACAATGACTAAGGATGAAAGAAGAACTGATGCCTTTAACTTGTGGTGCTGGAGAAGAATCTTAAACATACCATGAACCACCAAGAAAGCAAATAGGTCTGTTTTGGAGAAGGTGAAATCAAGATTTTCCTTGGATTTTGAGCTCCGTCTCACATGATTTGGGCACGCTGCCAGAGGGGAGTAGTACTGGGAGAAGGACTCATGCTCAGAAGCGTGGAGGGACAGCACAGTACAGAAAGACTCCCGATGAAATGGATTGATACAGTAATTGGCACAATGGAGGTAGGTGAACTGGAGTCATTGAGACTGGCTCAGGACAGAGCAGGCTTCAGAGCTGCTGTACAGAGAGTCACTATGAGTCGCAGGCCACTCAACGACACATAACAACAACATTTTTGAGCTTTATTATATGAATGTACCTAGTTCTGTTGTTTTTACTTAAAGTCCTAAATAACATTCCATTTTGTGTGAGTATGTTGTTATCTGCTGGTGAGTTGGTGCCAGCTCACAACTTTGGATCAACAGAAACACTGCTCTGTCCTGTGCTAACCTCACCATCACTGGTATGCTTGAGTCCACTGTTGCCCAAGAATATTTCAACATTTTTTTATCCATTCCCCTTTCTATAGGCATTTAGATTGTAGTAATGATGAATTAAAACCAAACAATGTTGCAATGAACATTTCTGCCCATGTCTTTTTGCATATACTAGAGTTCTTCAGGCCAGCGACCACACAGGAGACAAATGCAGAATCATGTCTGACATTTGTATCTCTTTGCTTTAATACTGCCAAATAGCCTTCAAAAATGGTCTAAACACCTACCAGAAAGGGATACATCTCTTCTGTGATGCATCTTTTCAAAAGCTACCTACCGCCCTCAGTCTAGATCCCCTTGTTTCACTCAACTTCATTTACTCATTGACTTTGATTTTTCCCTTCACATATTCCACTAACACTAATACTACCTGAATAGGAAGGCAAGTTAGAAGCAGGTTTTTATAGTTCCTGTAAGAGATGGAAAGGACCCAAACCATGTAAGAGAGAGAAAATATGGAGAAATGGGGATGAATTAAAGAGTTAGTTCTCAGGATGAATTGATGGTACTTTGTCATTGTTGTTATGTACCAACCGTCAAGTCACTTACAACACAGAGCAACTCTATATACAAGCTCTGAACCCTTCTCTGTCCTGAGCCAAC